GGCGGCGTCGGTGCGGCGGAGCCCGGGGCCGGCCCTGGCGCGCCTCGAGGGCCGCGAGTTCGAGTTTCTCATGCGGCAGCCCACCGTCACCATCGGCCGCAACTCGTCGCAGGGCTCCGTGGACCTCAGTATAGGCCTGTCGAGCTTCGTGTCGCGGCGCCACCTGCAGCTCACCTTCCAGGAGCCTCATTTCTACCTGCGCTGCCTTGGGAAGAACGGCGTCTTCGTGGACGGGGCCTTCCAGCGGCGCGGCGCGCCCGCCCTGCAGCTGCCCCCGCAGTGAGTGTCGGGGGTGGGTGGGTGCTGTCACCCGCCGGGCCCCGGGGTCGGCCTGTCAGCTCCGTTAGGACCGCCAGGGTGGGCTCGGCAGCGACCCGCCGGCCCGGACCCCCAGGGGTCGCCCTGGCTCCACCCAGGTCCCCGGGGGACCACCCTGGTCCGGCTTTGATCCGGGAACCCCGCCTGGACCCGCGGGCCTGGATCCCCGGGGTCAACCCCTGGACTGCCTGGAGGTTCCCTCCGCCCCGCCTGGCCTGGATTCCTGGCGGCTTCCCCTCCTCACCCGGCCCGGACCCCCAGGGTCGCCCCTGCCCCGCCCTTACCGGCTTGGGTCTTCTTGGTCGGGCCTGTGGGCCCACCTGATCTGGGCCTGGGAGTGGGGTTTACCACCCCTGCCCGGCCTGTGACCCCGCTAGACCTGGACCCCAAGGGATCGGCCCTGTCGCCCCGCCCCCGTTCTGGGGTCGCGCGCGCACGCCCAGGAAGGCGTTGCATCAGGCGGTGGGAAGGGTGTTCCTCCCGGAGGTGCGTGGTCCCCCAAGGGCCGAGCTCACCCCCGCTCGGTGAGCCCGGAGGAGTAGGGGTCAAGTGTGAATGGACAGCGGGGTGGAGGGAGGGAACAGGCGAAGAGTGACCCCTGGGCGTGGGGCCAGGACAGGAAGTGTCCTGGAGTCTGCGTGCGCCTTGGAAACGCCATGCGTGAGGCATGGCACCTTCTCAGGGTTGCTGGGCACCGAGCCGCGGGGAGTGGTGACCCGGAGGTCTCGCAGGGTTTAGCTACCATATTCCCTTCGACAGGGAGGGAAAGAGCGGGCTCGGGGCGAGGTCGTGGGGGCAGGGATCAGCCTCGGGCTGGGCAGGGCGCTGGCCCCCAGTGGGTGCGGTTGTAACCTGCACCTTATCCCTCCGCAGTTTTCTGACCTTCGGATCCAGGTTTTCTCACTCGACGGCACATAACAACAACAACAGCTGCTGCCCCTGGAGGTCCCTGAGTTCTGAGACCTGTGGATCGGGGCAGAGCCTGCTTAATTACTCATTTCCTCTCCTTTTTAGGCACTTTCTGGGTTTCTGTTTGATAACTGCTTCTAACTCCTGGAGTGGTCCTGTGACAACCTCTTTAACCTCTCTCTTTTAGAAGCACCCCGAGTGCAGAGTATTTTTGTAGGGGTGATTCCAGGGTCTGAAGTTTTTTTTTCTGCCACCTTTTCGCCGTCCTAGGGTCTTGGCACCTTTGAGTATAAGTCTTGTGCAGTTTGCAAGCTCACACCTGCTTGGGGTTTGGAGGGAACGTTTACAAACCTCCATTTTCCAAGTGTGAAAGCTGTGTGTTTCTATCAAATCGGGACCCTTGGAGGCGAAGCTGGCAGGTCCTGGGGCGGTGGCATCTCTCAGAGAACCCCCACTCCTCCATTCTGAGCCCCTGCAGCGCTCCGCCAGCGTCTCTGCTCGGAAGTGACCGGCTCTCGGAGGCCGGTTGGGTGGAGGATTCGGGTTCTGCCTCGGTTAGCATTTCTGTCCTGTCTCCTGACCAGGGCCTGGTTTGTTGTTGGGGGCGATGGGCTCGATTCCAACTCCTAGTGACCCCGTGCGTGGCTCCATAGGGTTTTCTTACAATCTTTGTCAGGCCTTTGTTTCGTGGGGCCAATGGGTGAATTTGAACCGCCAGCCTTTCAGTTAGCATCCCAGCTCTTAGTCCTTGAACCATGCGTGCTTTTAGGGCCTGCTTTATTGCTAGACTTTCTCACTAGAATTTTTTGTTACTCGGGGAAAAACACCCAGGCCACAGCTTCTTCTTACTCCTGCTGCCAATTAGGCTGATGCCGCGTTCCTCGTGTGTAGAGCGTTGCTGGTGCACTTGGACCCTTGCGGATTGATGCTTGGAAGAGTGGCTTTCTTTGGGTGCGCCCCGAGGCCCCCCGGCTGTAGCTGCACGCTGAGCATTGCGCAGAGCGCCCGCACGCGGTGTGGGTCTGCACGTCTGTGACTTCAGCTGCGTGGCTTCTGAGCTGTGCTCCTGCTGGCGGCAGTGACTGAAGCTTTGCAAGACCGAGCGGAGAGGCAAGGAGTGGATGTCGGGGTCTGCCAACCCAGAGAAACCCGAGTTGCTTTGGGGAACTGTCAAAGCCAGCCTACTAACGCGTTGAGCAGTTTGGACCAGTTTTCCGCTCTTCTGTTTGAGAAAAGCCCAGCCCCGGTGCCGGCGTCTCTGGAGCAGGCTGTAGTCCGCTGTTCTGCAGAGTCCCCTGCCTTGGCCTGTCACGTTGACCACGATGGTTTCATGAATTTAGAGCTGGAGGTAGCGTGTGTAAGCCCCCCCACCCCACGGGAAGTGACTTTGGGGTGTGTGCCCCCCCACCCCACGGGCAGTGACTTTGGGGGTGTGTGGCCCCCCACCCCACGGGAAGTGACTTTGGGGTGTGTGCCCCCCCACCCCACGGGAAGTGACTTTGGGGATGTGCGCCCCCCACCCCCGGGAAGTGACTTTGGGGATGTGCGCCCCCCACCCCCGGGAAGTGACTTTGGGGTGTGCGGTGACGGTCACGGTGGCTGCTGGCTTTTAGGCTTTCCTGAACAGTTTTGCTGTTGCTGCTGGAATCAGGAATTTCATTACCATCCACTTCTGGTTCTTTCGTTGGTGGGAATTTTGCACACTGGAGATTGATGTAGCAGGCTGCCTGGTCTCTGGGGACTTAGGGCTTTTTTTTTTTTTGTCCTGTGGTGGCCCCCCCGTGGTGAGTGGTGGCCCAGTGCACCCAGCCTTGCCCAGAGCGGGCCCATGTACCGACCTCGCTGTCCCATCCCTCATAATGGGGGGACCTCTGATGGGAGACAGGCATGGGGGGTACATCTGTATGAACCCCTCCCCCTTCCTCTCCCTCTCCTGGTAACATGCACGCGGTTAAGAGGAAGGCTGGGACTACCACTCCCTTGTTACCAAGACGGAGTCTTCCCAAACCCTCCACTTTCGTAATTACTGGCAGGACAGAAATGACGTGTGATACCACGTCACGGCAGTGGAGTCAGATGAGGCACTGGCTCCGTGTCCCGCCTGCCTCACCCAGCAGACCTGTGTGTCTCCTTCCTCTGGGCTTTAACTTCCTTGGGGGTGAGGCTGCAACTTTGTTTTTCTTGTGGAAATAGACAACAAACCCTCCCCCGGTTCTGTTTTAACACAGTTCCTGGCATTGGTTACCTACTTCCAGTTGTAAGGCTCTTCTCACCATCCTTGTCCGGATTCTCCCATCACAGTTAACACGGACCGTGCCCCTCAACCACACATCGTCTTTAGTTTCTATGCGTTTGCTTATTTCATGTAAGTGAGGCCAGACTGTATTGGCTCTTTTGCGACTGACGTGTTTCGCTCAGCACGATGTTTGCAGGCTCATCCATGGTGTGGACATCAGGACTTCATTTCTGTGTGGCCGAGGAGTGTTGGGCTGCCTACATGGACCACGTACCTGCTGATGGACATGGGGTGCTTCTGCGGTTTGAGGATTGTGGGGAGTGCTGCAGGGGGGAGCTGCTGGATACCTGGGACTGGGCCTGGCCGGCCGTAGGTCCTCAAAGGGAATTGTGTGCTTGAATGAATGAATGAATGAGAGAGTGAGTGAGTGAGTGAGTGAATGACTTGTACAGGTCCTCTCGGAGAAGAGCAACACCACCAATGTAGCTTGGTTTCCTAAAACAGACAGGTAGCAGTTGGCAGCAAGGGACAGTGTTCGGTTACATAGGTGGGCACGGAGGGGGTAAGGCTCCCTAGTGGTGTAGTGGTTAAGTGCTCAGTTGTGCCTGGAAAGGCCAGTAGTTTGAACATACCAGCTGCTCTGCGGGGGAAAGATGAGGCAGTCTGCATCCATGAAGATTGGAAACCCTGGGGGCAGTTCTTCTCCAACCTCTAGGGTCGCTGGGAGCTGGCTGGAACAGACTCTGGAGCGGTGGATTTGCTTTCGGTTTTTGGTGGGTTTGAGAGAGAGGTCCTGTGCCACTTAATTCAGAATTTAAATTTAGATGCTGTTGATGAACTTCACAAAAAGGGTCCACACGTAGCTCCTTACTAGTTCTCCCCTCTTTTTTTTCCTTACTGTTTTCCTGACATTTCTATAATAAACATGTGTTACTTGAATTATGGAAATAGCAAGACTGCTGCTGTCTGTGGTAGCTTTGAGTGGTAGGATATATGGCATCTTTTTTTTTTTTTTTGCTTTTTAAAAGGGCTCTGCAAATGGTTTGCGCTCTCACCTGCTAACCTCAAGATTGGTGGTTTGAACACATCCAGCGTCGCCCCAGGAGGAAGGCCTGGCAGAGTGGTGGTCAGCCAAGAAAACCCTGTGGGGCAGTTAGACTGGAATAGGTGGCATTGCCAGGAGTCCAGATCAACTCAGTGGCAACGGGTTTTTTAATTTTACTTTTAATTTATGCATTTTTGTGTTTCCGTGCTCTGCACTGGGCACGATTACGTTAAAAAAAATACTTTTGTTTTTGCAAAAATACATATAGCACGACAATTTCCAATTCAGTGTTTTTCACAAATACAGTTTAGTGACACTGGCTCCAATAATCATGTTATTTAAACACTTTTTATTATGGCAAATCTCAACCGTACACAAAAATAGAACCATGCGACGAGCTCCCCGTCTCCCCGCTGGGACTGCTATCATCGATGCCCAGCCTCCTCCGTCTTCTCCCCACTCACCTTCCTCCCGGGCTTCCTTGGCCCCACCCTGTCACCCAGGCAAATGCCAGAAGTCACGTACAAACCTCTAAAAGATAAGGGTTCTTTCTGAGAAATTTAACCACACTGCCATTATCACACCTAAACAGTGAATCGCCCGTCTGGACCTCCTTACCGCCTGTGCTTTGCTGCTCTTCCGTTGTATCTGTTTGCATCGGGGTCCAAATAAATCCAGGTGCCTTGATTGGTGGGTATCTTTCCCTCCCTCTTTTTTTTGAATGGTGCTTCATTGTGTGCTCAGTAAAAGTTCATACAGCAAATTAGGTTC